TGCTATGATGAGCTCTGAATCCAGATTGAAAGACTTCAAACATATTATTTTCCTGCAGGTGGCAGCGAAGCTGCTCAGCTATAAGTTTTTCCAGGATTTTAGATATGAAAGTGAGGTTTGAGATCGGTCTGTAGTTTGTAAGTATTTCTGGGTCCAGGTTTGTTTTCTTCAGAAGGGGTTTGATTACCGCGGTTTTAAAAGCTTGTGGGACATATCCACATTGTATGGATGCGTTTATTATATTTACGATAGGCTCAATTATCAAAGGAAGTATGTCTTTGAAGAGCCATGTCGGGACTGCGTCTAACATGCAAGTTGAGGCTTTTGAGGATGTGACCACAGAGATCACCTCTGCTTGGCTCACAGCCATGAATTTATCGAGGCCCACTGAAGAGTCTAAGTGGGAAGTCACGTATGCCGCTTCAGCTTGTCCACTACCAACAGCAGGAGTAACCTCCTCCAGTTTGTCACGGATGGATGTAATTTTATTATTAAAGAAGTGGAGAAAGTCGACACTGCTCAGTGAGCTTGGAATTTTAGGCTCGATTGCGCTATGGCAGTTTGTGAGTTTAGCGACGGTGCTAAACAAAAATCTACTGTTATTTTTATTTGCTTCTATTAAAGTTGAATAGTATTGAGTTCGAGCCCTGCGAAGGGCATTCTTGTAGTTTCGGAGACCTGCTTTCCACTCCCTGTGGACAGGCTCCTAGTGGGAGTGGCGATATAGCCTCTCCAATTTTCTGACGTCCTGTTTTAAAGTGTGGAGTTGAACACTGTACCAGGGCGACGATGATCTAAGCCTAATAGTTTTCTGTTTTAAAGGAGCTGCTGCATTTAATGCAGATTTTAAAGACTCCATAGTGTTGTCCACCGTTTGGTCAATGACTGAGGGACTGCAGCAGCTGTGAACAGGTTCACCTGCAGCAGTATTCAACATAGGCTGTATTAGTTCTTTGAACCTTGTGATAGATTTATCATTTAAGGTTCTTTTCATTATGGTTTTATCTTGCGGGACAGGAAAGTCCTCCAAATCGAGATCAAACGTGATCAAGAAATGGTCAGCAAGCAACGAGCTTTGACGCTGGATGTCAACATTGGAGACATCACAGCCGTAGGTCAGGACAAGGTCCAAGGTGTGGTTATGAATGTGAGTGGTTCCTCAACATTCTGAGTAAAACCAACACCATCTAGTACGGCGCTGAAAGCTTTGTTTAAGCTGTCAGTGCTGTCGTCCACATGTATATTGAAGTCTCCAGTTATAACTATGTTTTCCCATTCCAAAACTAGGTTTGAAATGAAGTCAGAGAATTCTGTTAGGAACTCGCTGTAAGGACCAGGAGGTCGGTATAAAACTATAAATAGCACCGCTTTTTGTTTTCTCCACCCAGGACAGGTGATTGAAAGTGTTATGTCTTAAAACGAGGGAAAGCATTGTTGGTTTTGGGACTAAGAACCAAGTTGGTGTGTGATATAATCGCAACACCACTGCCGCGACCTGTAGTTCTCGCTTTCTGGTAGTTAACATGCGTCGGAGGAGTGCACTCATTCAATCTGACGTAGTCGTCTTGTTGGAGCCAAGTCTCCGAGAGCGCAAACAAATCCAAGCCCTTGTCTATAATAAGTTCGTTTATGAGAAGCGATTTAGACGAGATTGATCTGACGTTCATTAAAGCTGCACTAACTGACTTTATTTTTGTACAGTGTTGCCAACTCCTCAGTAAGGAAAGTAGCGATTGGCTGTCCCAAAAGTCGCTAGAAGTCGCTAAATGACGTCATCGCCTAATTTGCATAATTTGCCATTTGCAAATAACTGTAACGGACGCTGTAGGAGAGAGGAATAAGGTCGTGGGAGAGACAAAAGTGAGTAAAAACACCCTAAATATGTTTAGAACTACAAATGTACAAAAATAATTTCAACATTAACAACATTTAATGATTTTAATGCTTTGTCTAGATCCACATTACACACATCAGTTTTGTCCTGTATTGTTAAATGTTATAACAGCAAATGTAATCAAAAGATTGTTATGTAGGGTGAAATTGCTAGCTCTACAACCAACCCTCCTCCTTTATCCGGGCTTGGGACCGGCAAAGTGACCCAAAAGACACACTCTGGCAGAGTTACTTAGGTTTATTTTTGTAAGTTTTTTTTTTTTTTTCATAGTTTGGCATAACAAATGATTTAATGTGACCCACTACTGAGAGAAAACAGAGTCACGGACAGAGCTGCCGCGGATGGAGTGGGGGGTAGTGGGGGGTAGTGGGGGGTGGCGGTGGTAGGAGTGGCCGGGGAGCTTTGGATGTGTGGTGGTGGTGGAGCTGAAGTTCAGTCTGCAGCAGCCTGAAAACTTCCTGTGCTTTTGAGACAGGGTCTCCTCTCTCTCTCTCTCTGCTCCGCCCATAGACTGTAGCTAGGACTGCTGCGCAAGGCTACTGTGAGACTGGCCGCCTGTAAGTGCTTTGGGACGGGGGAGGGGCTCACGTTGAGGACAGCAGAACAATACGTGCTTCACGAGTCTCCAAAACACCAGATAAGTCGCCAAAACACCAGATAAGTCGCCAATAACACCAGAAAAAGTCGCTAGATTTGTCGCTAGTCGCTTTTTTGAAAAAAAGTCGCTATAGGGGTCTGAAAAGTCGCTAAATCTAGCGACAAAGTCGCTAAGTTGGCAACACTGTTTTTGTATTCATTACGAAAATGCTATCCATGTCCATGTAGTGCATTGGGATATACCTCCTTTTGAAGAAAAAGTAATGCAGATTTGTGCTGGCGTGACATAACATTTTAGATCGAGTTTTGATGAAACAAGGAAGAGAATGTGTTACGGGTCGCAGATTGTGACCAATCATAGCGGACCACTAGCCCCCACTTTCGTGAGAAATCTACAGGCCCGTTAGCATAGACGGCTGAGTTAGCACAACAAGCGGCGGAGCTAACCTGAAACTCCGTGTGTCTTCGTCACCGGTTACTGCTTACACAGCGAGACAGCCATCCAAAAGAAAGTCCTGTTCCTCCGCGCTTCCCGTTCTATCGTTCTATGGTCACGCCATCCACGTGCAAATCCATGTCCATGTATTATCCATATTGGGAGACGCTAGCTCCGTCCCAACAGTGGGTGTGTGTGTGGGGGGCGATAGCTTCGTGGGTGTGGGGAGGGGAGCAGAAAGAGAGAGGCCAGCGAGTCTGCGGCTTCAAAATCTGTTAGTGCAGCTTTAAACCACATTTAACAACCCTAGTGTTAGAACTATTTCTGTCTGTCTGAACTTTTATTAAGTTACTGTGTCTGACACCCAGGTCAGATTTCCTTGCATATAGTGCTTTAGACTTCAAGCGAGGAACACACACAGTTTCAATCTGACTAGGTTCTGAGGCTAGTAACTGAGCACACACAGGCACACACACACATGCACACACAGTTTCAATCTGACTAGCTTTTGAGGCTAGTAACTGAACAGATGGGGGCTCAGAGGTTGTGGCAGAGCAGCTCTGCACCCGGGCCTCAGTTCTGCACCGTCATTTGAGCCGGGCAGAACAGTTTAGAGCCAGGGCCAAAGGGCCTTAGCCAAAAGGGATGTACCCGCCAACGTTGGGTGGATATCATCCGAGCGGATGAGACCGGGCTTTCCCCAAAAGGCACTCCAATTGTCAACATGAACAACACCACTTCGAGGGCACCAGCCAGACAGCCAGCGGTTGAAAGCCGAGTGTCTGCTGAATGCTTCTGCACTGCTAGTGCTAGGTAGGGGCCCAGAGAAAATGACAGTGTCGGCCATTGTGCTAGCCAGCTTGCACACCGCGACAACTTGCAGCTTCAACACCTCGGACTGTTTCCGCCGAACGTCATTACCACCCGCGTGAATAACAATTCGACGGAAACGCTGCTTGTGGGTCATCATGAGCCTCAGATTCCCTTCAATATCACCAAGCCTGGCCCCAGGGCAGCACCGAACAGTGGCTCCTGGGATCTTAACACCTCTAACAATAGAGGAGCCAATTACCAGCGCATCAGCGACTCCATCGGCTCTCTCAGCAACTCTCTCAGTGGCTCTCTCAGTGGGGCCTTCTTCCCCGCCCGGCCGCACGGGGGCGCAGCCGGACAGAGCGTCCCAGCGATTGTAAATGCTTTGATTGTAAATCACTATCCTGGTCTTGTCCCAGCTGCGGAGGACGGGCTGGGAGGCTAGGCTCGCTAGTTCTCCTCTGCCTTTCCCTAAAGCTGCGCTCCGCTGTCCCTGAGGATACGGCCTGGCTGTAGCTAATGCTAGCGCTAGCTCGAGACTCCAGTGCTCGGAGACGCAGCTCTAACTCACTGACCCTGGATTCCAGAGCTACGACTGACTCGGAGTGCTTACACAGTTAGCTTGGTGTACAATACGTGGATTTGTAATGTGTTTGTTAGTGCAAACAGAGAGCAGAGTGATAGTAGTCAAGAAACACGCTCACCGGATAAAGGAAGTCACGTCAAGTCGTGCTCAACCAATAACCAGTATGACTGGGCTGTTCGTGAGACAACACTGCCCTCTACCTGTGAAGGCATGTCATGCAGGAACATAGTAGGCTCACACATTGAATAGGGGTTAAACCTTTTATTGAAAAATCCAGGCCTTAGTGGGGCTATTTATAGGAGGAGCTGGCCTGTGATTGGAGCATTCGATCTAAGCATCTCTCTGGCAGGGGATAGGTGCCCCAGGAGTCACTCATAGCGTAGCCTAAGGGGCATAGTACCATGAAGTAGAATGAAAATTAAAAGTGTGGCGTACGATCAGAGCGACTGGGGCCAGGCAGGATACAAGTGAATGTTGGTGTGTTCTAGCGATTAAATAAAGTCAATTTCTTGAATGTCTGAAGTGTTAATGAAGTAGCACCACACTGTGACAGTGAAGGTCACAATATATGGCGGTAACGGTCCTATCAGTCTCATCGCAGCAGGATGAGTGACAAATGCAGACTTTATGTAGACAGAGTAGTTGTTTTATTTTGATTCCTCTTTGTCCCTCAGCACATGTGGACTGGCAGAGGAACTGGACCAGGATAGCGAAGCCAAACAGAGCCAGCCCAAGTCCGCCTGTGGGAGTGTGAGTATGAGCCCATAAGAAGAATGCAAGATTAAGGCCCTGTCCACACGAAGTCAAGCTCAGGCCTAAACGCAAAAATACTTTATCAATCCAGTGTATCGTCCATACGAGGCCGGCGTTTTGGGGGGGTGTAAACGAACATTTTTGAAAGTAGGTCCCAGAGGGGAAAGAATTCAAAACTCCGTATATGCCGCTCCGTGGTTACTGCCTCTCCGCAATGTATCTGAGACGCTTGCGTCATCGCCCCGCCTCTTGTTAAAGCACGCATGCGCCGCACTCAGAAAAATAAGCTACAACAATGTAGCTTGTTGGTTTTGTAATCCAGTGTGACCCGAAGCAACAGTTCAACCTCATCGTCCGTCCATACTAATGTAGTACCAGCTCGCCCTCTCGCCATGTTGTCTGTTTACAAAATTCCGCGCATGCCCACGGAAGTTTGGGCTTGATCCCGTCATTGCGTCACAGCGCCACCAACAGGTCTGGCATAGTTTCACAGCGTTTTCAGGCGTATTGACTACATTCATATGGACGCACACATTTACTGAGCTAACTCCGTGTTTACAGAAAAAGTTTCTGAAATTATAAGCGTTTTGTCTTCATGTGGATATAGCCTAAGGCAATTGTTTAATACAAACAGCAGCTTGTGACATTTAGGAGCAAAGTTTTCTGCCACAGAGCTACTTTAATGAGCTTCATTAAGCAGAACCAATTGGTATAAACTTTCCCGATGGCTTTAGATTGGGTATTGTGCACCTTTTTAAAACCATCTGTTGCACAGGGTTAGTATGGGTTTACAATAGTTACAAACATTATAACATATTTGAAACATATATAGCAAATCATTTTCCAACCTATGGGGAGCTACTGGTCATGTCTACTGGTTGAAGAGCCCAGGTTTAAGCCCTTTGCAGGTATTTTTCTTAGAGATTGTATTGCACCATTATTAAAACCCTCTTCTAAATAGTTAAAATATATATAAGATACTTGAGTGACTAGATTAGTGAAGTCAAATTCACAAGCAATATATTCAAGCGACACAGGGGCGCTTGAATTTGCATGTTCTCCCCATGTCTGCAAAGGTTCCCTCTGGGGGCTATGATTTCCACTACCACTAAAATCATGAACAATAGGAATTAATGCAATGAGTGTAACGGATGGTTGGAAGCTCCGATGCGTGTTCCGTATCTCATTTCTGTCATCACTGTGTTTGACATTTCCTTGTTTTGTGAAAGACTCAGACTGTGTTCCCTCAGTGTTACCTGGGAGATGCCTTCCGCTGTGCCAGCTGCCCATATTTGGGAATGCCTGCGTTCAAGCCAGGAGAGAAGATTGTGCTGGACAACAACACGCTCATGGACGTGTAAAAGCCGTACTGCCAACTCTGCATTCCTTTTCCAGTCACGTTAAGTTTATTAATGTGAATAATATTTGTGTGTTCAACAATAAAGCAGTGTAATAGTCTCTTTAGCGTTTATATTTTTCAGTGTTTATATTTGTATGTAAAAATAAAGAATAAAGAAATGGAACATTATCCATAAGTGACATAAATACATTTGCATAAAATAGAAGAGAATTCACTGGGATTATCTTTTCTTTAATCTACAAACCATTTATTCGTAGAGCAGAGCTTCAGGAACGTCAAGAACAAAAATTAACCTTTTTACAGGAGCGTGTTCTTGACTTGTGCGCTACAAAAGTTACAAAAGACGGTCCTCATAAACACATTTCACACAGGCCCATGTACAGTGAGGCGAGAAAGCCTGTCTAAACAAATAGGTCTTAAGTTGGGACTTGAAATCATTAACAGACTCAAAGATGCACAGAGACCAAGCCCCGGCGATCCAAGATGGCGCCGCCGTATTCAAATGAATGGCTTTTGCTCAGTGGCGCATTGTGCAGGCATGGGCGCCGAAAGATTAGCGGAACTTGCCTGGAGCTCGCAAAGATCCATGGGAACTCGCCTGTATTTGGGCATTGTCTGGTCCTCCCGGTTCTGCGCAGTGGATGATCTCCCATGATACGTTACGCCAAATACGCGTGTGTGGCTCTCATGCACGTGCACAGAGGGGCTCGGCCGCCCAGGGGTGAAGTGTCTTGCCTAAGGACACAGCAGCCACTCCACTGTGGCATCAGGTGTTCCCAGAGGTTAAGTGTCTTGCCAAGGACACAACAACAGCAGACATCAGTGGGAGTCGGTGGAGAAAGTCTTGTGGTGGGCTCAAACCCACAACCTCCTGGCTCAAAGGCCAATGCTCTACCAACTGAGCTACTGTCACTTATCCATCCATCCATCTTCTTCCCCTTAATCCATGTCTGGGTCGGGGGGTGGCAGTCAGAGTTGCCCCCAGCACACATAGCACCAGCCCCTCACTGATCCTCCTGCAGGTGGGACCACAGGAGCCTTGATTATTCAGCAGGGGCTTCAGGCAAATTAGGGTTAAGTGTCTTACCCAAGGACACAACAACAGCAGTCATTAGTGGGAGTCGTGAAGTAGGTCTTGTGGTGGGCTTTGAACCCATGACCTTCAGGCTCTAAGGCCAGTGCTCTACCAACTGAGCCAATGTCGCTTATCACGAAGCCATATTTTTTATTTTGTCGAGTCAGTTTGTCTAGAAACCAGTTTCTGAGGTTCAGAGGGCTTTAAGATAAGATAAGATAAGATAAGATTGCTTTATTTATCTCACAGAGGAGAAATTTACATGTCACATTTGGCATGGATAGAGACACTCAGATTGTGCAAAGGGAGGAAATGTGCAAACATGTTACATGCAGGATATATGTACAATAAAAGTGACAATAATTATGTACAACAAAAGTGACAAGTGTCAATTGGAAACAGTGTCAATAGTAGTGCAGGTTTTCACACAGTGATCATTTAAAGTGACTTATTGTACAGTCTGACAGCGGTGGGGATAAAGGCCCTGCGGTAGCACTCCTTCCTACACTGAGGGTGCCTCAGTCTTCCACTGAAGGAGCTCCTCAGCTCCTCTACAGTCCTGTGCAGTGGGTGGGAGGTATTGTTCATGATGGAGGTGGCTTTGGCTAGCACCCTCCTGTCCCTCACCTCCTCCAGAGTCCAGGGAGCAGCCCAGAGAAGAGCTGGCCCTCCTGACCAGCTTGTTCAGTCTGTTTCTGTCCCGCTCTGTGCTGCCCGGGGCCCAGCACACGGCAGCGTAGTAAATGGCAGAAGCTACCACAGAGTCATAAAAAGTCCTGAGCAGAGGCCTGCTCACTCCGAAGGACCTCAGCCTCCTCAGAAGGAAGAGGCGACTTTGGCCCTTCTTGTGCAGGGCGTTTGTATTATGGGACCAGTCCAGTTTATTGTTAATGTGAACACCCAGGTACTTGAAGCTGTCCACCAGCTCAATGTCCTCCCCCTGGATGTTCAGCAGCGTGTGGGAAAGTGGTTTTCTCCTGAAGTCGATGACCATCTCCTTGGTCTTACTGGTGTTCAAGCACAAGTGGTTGCGCTCACACCAGTCGACAAAGTCCTTGATAACCGACCGATATTCCAGTTCATTCCCCTCAGACACACAGCCCACGATGGCGGAGTCGTCGGAGAACTTCTGCAGGTGACAGCTGTGTGTGTCGTGTGTGAAGTCTGAGGTGTAGATGGTGAAGAGAAACGGTGAGAGGACAGTGCCCTGAGGGGCCCCAGTGCTGCAGACGACCACCTCAGACTCACAGCTGCGCAGCCGCACGTACTGTGGTCGGTCTGAGAGGTAGTTGATGGTCCATGCAGTGAGGCTACTGTCCACTCCCGCGTCCTCCATCTTCCCCCGCAGCAGTGCCGGCCTGATGGTATTGAAAGCGCTGGAGAAGTCGAAAAACATGACCCTCACAGCGCTCCCGGCGGGCTCCAGGTGGGAGAGCGTCCGCTGCAGGAAGTAGATGACGGCGTCCTCTACTCCGATGTTGGGTCTGTAGGCAAACTGCAGCGGGTCCAGGGTGGGGCTGACCACGGAGCGGAGATGGGTGAGGATGAGCCGCTCCATTGTCTTCATCAGGTGGGAGGTCAGTGCGACTGGTCTGTAGTGAGCCGGTTCCTTGGCGTGTGCTGTTTTTGGAACCGGGATCACACAGGAGGTCTTCCACAGGACAGGGACCTTCTCCAGGCTGAGGCTCAGGTTGTACATGTAGCTGAGGACCCCAGAGAGCTGGTCTGCACAGGTCCTCAGCAGCCTGGGACTGATCCCGTCCGGTCCTGCGGATTTCCTCAGCTTCTGGCGCTGGAGCTGACTCCTCACCTGGTCCGGTGTGATGGAGAGGGGGGGGGACTGGGATGTACTGTCCGAGGTGGGGGCTGGGGATGCGGGGGCAGGAGGGCCCGGGGCAGCCGGAGGCAGTGTCCACTGGGCGGTGTCCACTGGGCTGGGGACGTGTGAAGAGGTGGGGGCGGGAGGGGGGGCAGATGGAGAGGGGGGAGAATCAAACCGGTTGAAGTGCTGGTTAAATTCGTCCGCCCGGTGCTGGTCTCCATCTGCTGTTCCTCTGGCACTCTGTCCAAAGCCGGAGATGTTCTTTAGGCCTCTCCACACGTCGCGGGCGTTTCCCTGGGCCAGCTTCTGCTCCAGCTTTTTCCCATAGTCCTTCTTGGCCCTCCTGATCCTCCACTGGAGCTCGTGCTGGATCCTCTTCTGCTCCTCCCTGTCCCCTGAGATGAAAGCCCTTTTCTTGAGGTTCAGGAGGGCTTTAAGCTCAGGGGTCACCCATGGGTGGTTGTTAGAAAAACACCGCACCTTCTTAGTTGGTACAGTGTTATCCACACAGAAGAGAATATAGTCTGTAATGCAGTGTGTCAGGCTCTCGATGTCCTCACCATGAGAGCTGCAGATCATTTCCCAATCAGTGTTTTGAAAACAATCTCTCAGCATCTCATCCACATCATCGCTCCACACTTTTACAATCCTCTTCTGCGCTGGATTTCTTCTCACCACTGGTGTGTATTCCGGAGACAGACGGACCAGGCTGTGATCAGAGCGTCCGGGAGGGGGGAGGAGGCGTATGCGTCCCGGACATTAACATACAGTAGGTCCAGAGTCTTATTGCCACGAGTTGGGCACGTGACATACTGTTTGAATGTCGGGAGAGTGGCGGAGAGGGAGGCGTGGTTAAAGTCTCCGCTGATCAGAATCAGAGCGCGGGGACTGCGGGTCTGGATCTGGGTCACAGTTCTGTGCATCTCCTCACATGCTGCGGCTGCGTCTGCTGACGGGGGGATGTAGGCACATAGAACCACGGTGTGTGAAAACTCCCGCGGCAGATACCTGGGTCTCATACTCACAGCGAGCAGCTCCAGGTCCTGTGTGCATGTACGCTGGACCACATGCACGTGCGTCGGGATGCACCACTGCTCGTTCACGTAGACCGCGACACCCCCGCCTTTGCTCTTCCCACTCCCCTCCGCGCAGCGGTCCGCTCGCACAAGTTTAAATCCCTCCAGCGCGACCACAGAGTCCGGTATATTCCCACACAGCCACGTCTCAGAGAAACACATAAGTCCACATTGTCTGTACTCTCTTTGATGGCGGACCAGTGCGGTCAGCTCCTCAGTCTTATTAGAGATGGACCGTACGTTCCCCATGATGATGGAGGGGAGATACGGTCTCCTCTTTCTCTTTCGGCCTCCTCTGGAGCCCCTGCGTCTCCTACGGATCTCCAAGGGGATCACCGGCTTCTCTGAGTGCCGGAAAGCGGAGTCTCTAAGTCCGAGAAGCTGCTCCCGTGTGTAAACAATGGGACACGCTGGCCTCGTGGCTCTGTGAGCGGAGAACTCCGAAAAAAGTGCCGAAGTCATGTTAATCCAGTGCGAAGGTCCACGAGGCTAGGCTTCCCGTGTGCACAATGCACAAATAAACACTTGTCTACGAAAATAAAAAATAAAAAAACACATCTACAAGAAATAAATAGAGAAAGGGTCGGAAAGAGAAGAGAGCCAAAGTGACGAGCTGCACAGCGGGAGCTGCACAGCGGGAGCTGGCGCCGGAAGTTTTCTGGAAGTTTAAAGAGCAGTGCAGCTGGAGATTGTCGTTACACATGTGGTAGGAGACTTCAAAAACATTTACCGGAGTTTGCATCCATCATGATGTCACAAGTTTGTCAAGAACCTGTGCATGTTCGTCTGATACACATGTTCATTCAAGTTCCATTGTAGTGCTTTTTTGGACACTCAAAGACCCTTCATATGTCATTCTTCATTCACTCCATACACGGTGGTGATCAGTGTTGGGGAAGTTAGTTATCACAGTAATAACCTGGCACCTAAGACAGTCCTGCTTAGCTTTAGAGGTCTGACGGGATATGGATTTTATGCAGGTATGGCCACAAGAGAAAGTGTATCCTTTAGAAAAGTGTTATTAACTG